ATATTTATATGTGTTGTGTGCAGATTAAAAGATTACTTTACAAACGAGGATGGTTTTTTCCTGGGGTTTACCCGGAGTCGCTACGGAGGTCACGCCCCGCGCCCAGGTCCAGGACCAGGGTTAGCAAAAAATACTAGGAGAAATCTTAAATCAAATTTCTTTGTAGTCATTATATTTACAATAATTTTATTATACATAATGTAATCTTCAGACGTGTGGATTTTGCTTCAGTGTGTGGACTGAGAATTTACTGTAATTACTTATTTTCTGAATTAAAAATTCTTAACTGGTGGTGTATAGGTAACGTGCACGTTTATGACCTTCGTGTGGTGGATAGGTTTTAAACCCAATTACAATAGCAGGCAGGAGGAAAAAACGACGAGAGGGCCATCTAAAGGAACGGATTAATTTTTCCTTAGTTTAGTCCCATTACTGACAGTGAGGAGAGAGAAAGTGAATGATTGAATCTTGCATCTCATATATGGTTAGTTGAAGGGAAGGTTTACTGGTAGGTGGTCACATGATTAGCTCTACGTTGCCCCGTCAATGGTAGGAGACAACTATTGTAATGTGCCTGCCACTTCAGGTCTTGAAAACACAAGGTCTCAAAAATTATAACGGATATTAACTTTTTTGCTGAGGTCCAAGAGGGTAAGAGGGTGGCCGTTGTGAGGCAGCAGGAGGATGTTTTGGTAAGAAGGGTGTACGTGTTGACCAACTGCTGCCCTCCCTGTTTGTTAAGTGAGTGGTTCTTCCGCTTTCCACTGCTTTTCCTCTTCCGTAAACATTTCTGCCCTCTACTTGTCTTTTCTTTCTCCCACGTTACCCCTGGTTTATCCATATTGTCTTCTTTCTTTCCCCTCTCCCTTCTTTCATTTCGTCTTCCTTTTCTCTCTTCATCCCTCCTTATGTGTAAGTGCTTTAGGGGGTAGAAGAGAATGCAAATGGGAGGGCAAGATGAGTGCTACACCACGTCCAATTTGGTAAAGGGCGAAACTGGTGTGATTGTGTGGGAGAAAGGTGAGGGAAGGTGGCGCTGAGGGGTGAGGTGTAGGCTTTAGGATACGGGGTGAGAGGGGAAGCGTTGGCTAGGGGATACGGTAGCGAATGGATAATGGGCTTGGCAGGCGTGTATTTATCAGGAATGGAACATAAACCTTGGCATTAGTAAGGTAATAAGAAAGGGTGGGGGGGGGAGCGGGACTTTCCTCTGCAAGAAATATCTCTTAGGTTGACAATTTGTAGCAAAACCGAAATAGTGAGAAGTTCGTTACTTTTATGTTCCTGGTTCTCCGTCATCCGCACATTTTCAGTGGCTGTTCTCCTCGTATATCTTTTTGCCTGTTTCTACGCTGTAACATTTTTCGTTATACTATCCTGTCATACGAACGCAAAGCTCGAGGAAAAGCATTTCATTGTATTCTGTGTGCAATCAATTTCGTCAGCTAGGTGGGAGGTTGAAGTTATAACCTTGTTCAGATTTAACTGGTGTTATGTAGTAGATAAGGAATCAAGGAGGGAGGAGCAGACAGTGCGAAATTACCTAAGAAGCGAAGCACTGTATAACCCAGAGGGAAATGGAGTCAGTGGATAAAACAATCTGAATTAAATTGGAATATATTTTTAAGAGTGGATATATTCAAGGTCTTTACCCTTACGGAGAGGAAAAGAATTGAGGGTAAAGGGCATTCGTCAGGAGAAACAGGAAAATTTCTCCCAGGACTGGTTTGAGCCGTATGCTTAACCGTCAATAAAGCTTCTAGACATTTGACCTAAGCTGACTTTTTGGTCCCACTTCGAAGAAAAACCAAATGTCACATCCAAGTAGATTTTACATCTTTCTCGTGGATCAAAATAGCCACGACAACGAGAAACATTTAACCTCGCTAAAAGCAGTTACGATAAGGACACGATTTCTGGCTACAGGAAGCAGAAGGAAAACAGTAAGCAGTGTTTACCTAGAGACTGGGTTTACCTGGAAGAGACCTGGAGTTTACCTGTGTGACTGGAGTGTTTACTGGAGAGAGTTCGGGGGTCAACGCCCCCGCGGCCCGGTCTGTGACCAGGCCTCATGGTGGATCATCAACCAGGCTGTTACTGCTGGCTGCATGCAATCCAACGTACGAACCACAGCCCGGCTGGTCAGGTACCAACTTGAGGTGCTTGTCCAGTGCCTGCTTGAAGATAGCCAGGGGTCTATTGGTAATCCCCCTTATGTATGCTGGGAGGCAGCTGAGCAGTCTTGGACCATAAAGGTAGCTTCGTATTGCAAAATAAACACCAGTATTATAAATATCATTAAGGATTATCAAGTTAATACTCTTTGTCAGGATTCTTTTTCAGTTTAAAAAGGTTTAGAGACAAATGGGATGTGATTGAAGCTCACGCAACAGATTCAGATTGTACAAGTTAAGATTTTGAAATATAAAAATTTTTGTTTGGCTTACAGTGCCAGATCAGCGAGGTTGTGATGGTTATGTAGTCCTGCAGGCCCCTGGCAGCAACACTCTGGGTGATCAGCTTTCACCAATATTGAGACCTAAGGCTGGGCCTCGAAAATAGATGAACGAAATACGAGTATACGAGTGGTAAAGGCTGGCTGTAAATACGACCTGCATGGTACGACCCTATCAATGGAACAAGTAAAAAAAAGGGCGATGGTTCAAGGACACACACACAAAGTAAGGTCGGGTGATCTTACACCCACATGCAAGTTGCACCAGCAAAGGTACACAGGAGTCCACTCGAATTTTTACTGTAATTATCTTGTATTTACTTAGCTATAAGTGGCCTGAGGACACTCAAGGGGAAGTGAAATGTTCCAGGGTGTTATGAGCGTTTTATAAAGTATTGGACCTAATCTTGATTCTTCATTTATGCTACGTAAATTAAATGTTTTTATCACGAATTCGTTTCATTCGAATAAAGCTTGAATTTTTAGGTGTTTTCTCATTTATATTTTTAATAATTTATATTCAACTATAGTTTGTTTCGTTGTTTATTGCGAGTTTCACTGAAGATTCGATACCATAGAACAGAATATGCGAGTGGCTATAAAGATAAGCTCGATCCTGCAGAGCTTCAGCAAGGCTGGGCTGCCACTTCTCAATACCCTTGGAAAAAAAAAAAATAAAAAAAAAACTTTCAAATTTTCTACACTTTCTACTTTCCCTTCTGCAGGAGGTGGTTCAGTTGATGTCCCTTCATCAGGGGGGGAACCGGGGTTTTTATTATTTAATTTATGACAACGGGCGCTACACTATACTTACCGTCACAGAAGTAATGTGTGTTGCAACCCCTGAATGGGTCACAATATATATGATGTATATTATGTATATGTATATATGTTTATTACCTTTTCATATAAATATATATTGCCTTTTATTTGCGATTAATAGCTAAATCGTATATATATTCCTTATATTATTATCTGATCTTTGTTATGTTGTTAGTTGGATTAACAATCCATATAAATATATGTTGCTCCTATATAGTTCAGTCTTGATTGTCTAACTACTGTAATTATCGTGTGTCGTTATCTGCCGCTTCGGTGTTGCTGGGGCAGCGACTGTCCACGGAGCTATCACGTGATCGAGGGGGGTGTTCTCACCTCGCCTATTGAAAGTATTCAAGTCTGGTCTAGACTCGCTTGGTAGGTAGGACTATTCCTGACAAATGCCTAACTCTCCCTTATTGACCCTTGTTGGAAGATCGTCTCTGTAGCTTTCTTGTTGGTTCTGTAGAACTCTGTTCACAGAAAATTGTTCTTGACTTAGTGATTTTCGACGTGTACTGAGGTGTGTGCGATAGACACTTCTGAGCAACTCAGGTCCGAGCTGTAGCTTCTGACCTAATTTTGGTATGGTAATCTGTGTGTTGTCACAGTCGGGGATTTTCTTATGCTGAACTTAGATTCAGTATTATGGGAGTTTTGTGACTTTTGTGGAGGATCTGCAGATGGTTCCTGCTGTCGTTATATTATCTCCTTGATCCTGATTCTGTCACAGTTGCTTGTTATATTGCTATTGGGCTTAGCATTCCTTTTATTGTTCAAGCAGGCTGTTCTGATTGCCAGTTGGTCAAGAAGTTAGTTTATTTGAGGACTTTGTCAGTCACTTGTTTAAGTCTAGTCGAGTCGTGAGACTTAGCGAACTACTTATGCACTTACACACATACACACATTTGTATATAGTATTAAATGTTAATGTATCAGACGGTACTTAAGACTTATAAATGTGATATGCGCTTTCAGCACAATACTACTGTACACGAGAGAAGTGATTATTATTAATTTGTTTGAATTGATTAATTTAATTTAATTTGATATACGCCTAGACAACTAAATTAATAAATTTATTAAATTTTAATTTCTCTAGTTAGTAGCCTACCAGTTGTAATCCTGAAGCACTATTAATTCTTATTAAATTCTAATGGATAATTGGACAAGGATACTGACTAATTGTTACGAAAACCCAGTAACAGGCTGGATGCTAGAAGGGCGTTTTTTGTAACAATGTGGAAGCTATATCCGTCAGCCACGATGATCTATGAATGATGTAGCAATAATGTCCTAAGAATGGACGTCTATATGATGGTACGACGGTAAGAGCATCAGCAACTCTCTTACCTACGCATTATTCCGTTTTCATTGTAGCTTTCTGCTAGGCCGAGCTATTTTGGAGGTGGCTTCTGTGGGGCTACAACTGCCTCGACTGTGTCTGATCGTGTGTATCAGTTCACTAGGTATTGTGTAGAGGAATCATTTATTGATCTCGTAAGGTAGGCACCTGTATGCCTGTTTCTTATAAGCAGGGTGAATATTTCTTTCAGTCTCTCTATAATGCACTGATGTACGGTAATGTTAATAGAGCATCGCTGTAAACATTATTCCCAGGTCTGTATCGCACTGTTTTGTTAATATCTACGGGAAAATACATTCATTTTCTCCCACATAGTTCCTGTGGGTTATTCCAAAATATGGATAACGTCGAAAATATATTTCACACGGACGGCTTCACTCCGGCCTTCGTGTGCACAAGTTCTCCAGACGATGCCTCAGGGTTGTCTGCTAGAACCATTCGCGTCCGTTTCCTGAGTGATTAATTAAGTTCGACAAGGAGCATTGTTTAGCAGGACCACCAAACGTGGGCCCGTGTGTATGTACCCTGGCTGGTGTCACAAAGGATCATGTCACGTTGATGTGCCACCTGAGAGTCAAGGACATGACTAGAATTTTATCATCATATCATTCCGTTCATTCCAGTATTAAAAATATAAGGTATATAAAGACCTAATCTACATAAAAATTGTCCTTCTCTCACCCTACATTATCATCCATGGTCATCACCATTCGTCAACACATCAGTAATTCATCATTCCTTGAATCGAATTCTTATCACTGCTGGACACAAGAGTAAAGGGGCTATATACACCCGCTGCCAACATTCGGCTGGCAGTAATATTATACTGTGTAATAGCAGGTCTTCCCTGTGATTCATCTGATAAAACTTTACCCTACCAGTAATCGGAACCAGATTCCAGACTTGTAAACAATTGCGAATTAGTGTTTTTTCACTGTATAGACTTACAGCACCATAACTGAGCGATAGCTCAGTTATATATAACGTACAGTTATGGTGCTGTCACATGTACGTTACGCAGGGACGCCCCTGGACTATATTGTACCATGAATTAATTTCTATACGATCCAGATTGCTCAGTAAAAAATAATTCGTAATGTTGAGTTATGTGACTCACACGGGGAGAATCTCGAGTTTTCCCTGAAGCAAGTTTATTCTTTTCTCTGAGGATAAGGGTCTCCAGTCCAGTTCCAGAGGCGGTACCTCCCTATATTTTGTAAGGATGTGTATGTAAAAATCAGGGTGTCGCTTCTTAAGTGACGTTACTTGATAAAAAGTAAATCGTGTTAGTTTTCTTCTCAGTAGTCATCATGACAGGCTGTATGAGTGGTTGATGAGGTTGTCGGGTGCAGCACAGAAGGGTGTGAGTACCTCATTAGAGGTCTTGTCTCGAGGATGAAGCGTGAAGGGATTGGTGTGTCAGTCGACCTGACCTGACCCCAACCACCTTGTCAGCGCTGCAGTAAACGAGGGTTAACGCACTGCCTTTAACAAACGCATACTGAACCCAGAGTGAAAAATTGAGCTCCTGGGAAAACGAAGGTAATCAGAATTCTCGACTCTCTCGTTTATAATACTATCCCTGTTATACGGGGTGTATGCATGAATAAATACGTTTTTGTGTATGCATACGAACGTAATGCCATGTGTTTCCTCTAGGCCTACTCCCGAGATTTCTTAAGATTTTTTTTTTTTGCTATAAACTGCGCTCGCGTTAATATCCTTTGAATTAAGCAAGGAGAGTACCACAAGAGTGTGTACTGGACACAAGGGTGTGTACAGAACACTAAAAGGGTGTGTACACAACAGTACAAGGGTGTGTACACAACATTACAAAGGTTTGTACACAACACTAAAAGGGTGTGTACACAACACTACAAGGGTGTGTACACAACTATAAGGGCTTGTACGAAGCACTACAAGGGTGTGTACACAACACCACAAGGGTGTGTACACAAACACTACAAGGTATCTTGGGTTGTGGTTAACAACACCACAAGGGTGTGTTACACAACCACTACCAAGGTGTCGTGTACACAACACCACAAGGGTGTGTACACAACACTTCAAGGTGTGTACTACAACACTTACAAGGCTGTGTACACACACCACAAAGGGTGTGTACACAACACTACAGGCAGTGTGTACACAACACAAACAAGGGTGTTGCACAACCACTACAAGGGTGTGTACCAACCACTCAAAAGGTGTGTACAAACACCACAAGGGTGTTGTGCACAACACTACAAGGGTGTGTACCACAACACAACAAGGTGTGTAGTAATCAAAAAACACCACAAGGGTGTGTACACAACACTACAAGGGTGTGTACACAACACCACAAGGGTGTGTGCACAACACTACAAGGGTGTGTGCACAACACTACAAGGGTGGTGTACACAACCACTACAAGGGTGTGTACACAAACACCAAAAAGGGTGTGTGCACAACCACTACAAGGGTGTGTACACCAACACAACGAGGGTGTGCTACACAACCTACCAAGGGTGTGTAACAACACTACAAGGGATGTGTACACAACACCCACAAGGGTGTGTAACACACACTACAAGGGTTGTGTACCAACACTACAAGGGTTGTGTTCACAACACTAAAGGGTGTGTACACAACACTACAAGGGTGTGTACACAACACTACAAGGGTGTGTACACAACACTACAAGGGTGTGTACACAACACTACAAGGGTGTGTACACAACACTACAAGGGTGTGTACACAACACTACAAGGGTGTGTACACAACACTACAAGGGTGTGTACACAACACTACAAGGGTGTGTACACAACACTACAAGGGTGTGTACACAACACTACAAGGCTGTGTACACAACATTACAAGGGTCGTGTACACAACATTACAACGGGTGTTCTGTACACAACATACAAGGCTGTGTACACAACATTACAAGGGTGTGTACACAACATTACAAGGGTGTGTACACAACACTACAAGGGTGTGTACACAACACTACAAGGGTGTGTACACAACATTACAGGGTGTGTTACACAACATTACAAGGGTGTGTACCACAACTTACAAGGGTGTGTGCACTAACATTACCAAGGGTGTGTACACAACATTACAAGGGTGCGTGTTACAAAAACCACTACAAGGTGTGTCACAACATTCAAGGGTGTGTACACAACATTACAAGGGTGTGTACACAACACTACAAGGGTGTGTACACAACACTACAAGGGTGTGTACACAACACTACAAGGGTGTGTACACAACACTACAAGGGTGTGTACACAACACTACAAGGGTGGTGTAACAAACATAAAAGGCTGTGTAACAACATACATAGGGTGTGTGCACAAACACTAAGGGTGTGTGCACAACACTTTAACAAGGGTGTGTACACATCACTACAAGGGTGTGTGGCACACATTACAAGGGTGTGTGCACAAACACTACAAGGGTGGTACACAACATACAAGGGGTGTGTAGCACAACATTACCAAGGGTGTGTGCCACAACACTACAAGGGTGTGTACACAACACTACAAGGCTGTGTACACAACACTACAAGGGTTTGTACAACAAAACACTTACAAGGGTGTTTACCTGGAGTTTCCTGGAAGAGAGGGTTCCGGGGGTCAACGCCCCCGCGGACGGTCGTGGCAGGCCTCCACTGGTGTTCAGGAGCCTGATCAACCAGGCTGCTGCTGCTGGGCTGCACACAAACCAACGTACGAGCACAGCCGGCTGATCCGGAATGACTTTAGGATGCTTGTCCAAGTGCCAGCTTGGAGACTGCCAGGGGTCTGTTGGGTAATCCCCCTTATGTATGCGGGGGGTGGGGGGGGGGTGGGAAGCAGTTGAACAGTCTCGGGCCCCTGACACTTTATTGTTTGGTCTATTAACGTGCTAGTGACACCCCTGCCTTTTCATTGGGGGATGGTGCATCGTCTCTGCAAGTCTTTTTGCTTTCTAGTGAGTAATTTTCGTGTGCAAGTTCGGGACTAGTCCCTCCTAGGATTTTCCAGGTTGTATAAATAATCATGTATCTTCTCCCTCCTGCGGTTCCAGGGAATACGTTTTGGATAACCTCAAAGCCGCTCCCAATAATTGAGGGTGTTTTATCTCGTTATGCGCGGCGTGGAAAGTTCTCTGTACTTTTCTAGGTCGGGCAATTTCACCTGCCTTGAAAGGTGTGTTAGTGTGCAGAATATTCCAGCCTAGATAGATCATGTGACTGAAGAGTGTATCATGGGCTTGGCCGCCATAGTTTTGAAGGTTCTTCATTAGCCATCCTGTCATTTTTTCTAGCAGATGCGATTGTGATACAATGTTTTGGTCCTTGAAGGTGAGATCCTGACCGACATGATCACTCCCAGGTCTTTGACGTTGGTGTTTGCTCTATTTTGTGGCCAGAATTTTGTTTTGTACTCTGATGAAGATTTACATCTTCCTCATGTTTACCATATCTGAGTAATTGAAATTTCTCATCGTTGAACTTTCATATTGTTTTCAGCAGTCCCACTGAAAGATTTGGTTGTTGATGTCCGCCTGGAGCTTTGCAGTGTCTGCAATGGAAGACATTGTCAAGCAGTTCGGGTGTCATCTGCAAAGAAGACACGGTGCTGTGCTGACATCCTTGTCTATGTCGGATATGAGGGATGAGGAACAAGATGGGAGCGATGTTCTGTGCCTTGTGGAACAGAGCTTTTCACCGTAGCTGCCTGGACTTTACTCTGTTGACGATTACTCTGCTGTGTTCGTTAGTGAGGAAATTATTGATCCATCGACACGACTTTTCTGTTATTCCTTTAGCACGCATTTTTGTGCGCTATTACGCATGGGTCAAACCTTGTCGAGCTTTTGCAACGTCTGTATATATTAATCTGCATTCTTTTTGTCTTCTAGTGCTTTAGACCTTGTCGTAGTGATCCAATAGTGGAGACAGACAGGGCGAACCTTGTTCTTAAACCCATGTTGCCTGGGTTGTGTAATTGATGGGTTTCTAGCATGGGTGGTGATCTGGCTTCTTAGGACCTTTCAAAGTTTTTATGATATGGGATGTTTGTGCTATTGGTCTGTAGTCTTGGCTGTTGCTTTATGCCCCCTTTGTGGAGTGGGGCTATGTCTGTTTTGTTGTTAGTAACTGTGGGACGACCCCCGTGTCCATGCTCCCTCTCCATAGGATGGAAAAGGCTCGTGATGGGGCTTCTTGCAGTTCTGATGAACAAAGAGTTCCATGAGTCTGGCCCTGGGCAGTGAGCATGGGTCATGTCATTTATCCCTGTTCGAAGTCATTTGGCGTAAGGATAACATGGATAGCTTGTGTTAATCAAATTTTGTGGCTCTCTCATTAAAAAAAATTCATTGTGATCTTTCGACTCTCAGTTGGTTAGCGGCTTGCTAAAAACTGAGTCAATTGGACTTGAGTAGCTCCACTCATTTCTTGCTTGTCATCTGTTGTAGGAC